CGTAATCCTAAGGACAAACGCACAGGGAGACAGGGGAGCACTACAGAGTGGGCAGAGGCCACAAAGCAAAGGGTTCAAATCCTGGAATCTGCCCCAAGTCACTGTGTTTAAAATCATTAATTATAAAGGAGGGACTTGAAGCCAAAATAAAATATAAAAATTAAGAACAAACATGAAACGTGAAAAATAAACAGGAATAATTTTTAAAAGGACAAAATAAAACTTTGTCTTATCAGTTCGGCTGCTGTGACAAAAACACCACAGACCAGAGGCTTACATGACGATGTGTATTCCTCACAGCTCTGGAGGCTGCAGGTCTGGGATCAGCAGGATCGGGTTCTGGTGAGGACACTTCCTGGTTCATAGACTGCCATTTTCTCACTGTGTGCCCAAAACACAGGAAGTGTGAGCGAGCTCTGTAGGGTCTCTGTCTTCAGGGCACTGATCCCATCATGGGGGCTGCACCCTCATGACCTCATCAGCTCCCAAAGCTCCCACCTCCTAACACCATCACATCAGGGGTGAGGGTTTCAGCATATTAATTTGGGGGGACACAAACATTCAGTTCATAATAAACTCCTAAGGATGAAGTATATTGTTCATTGAAATTAAAAATACAAAGAATGGGATAAGCAACAGATGAAACATCACTGAAAGTTATGCTTTGAAGAAATACCCCACAGTGTTCATTCATAGAGAAAAAAAGATGGAAAAACATGAAAGAGGAATTAACATACATGGAAGAGAGAATGAAAATGTTCAGGTAGTTTTCATGGGAGTCACAGAAGAACAGAAAAGAAAAACCTTAATGGCTGGCAGTAAATAGCAAAAGAAATAGAATAAACCCAACCTAGATCCATTGTATTGTAGCGAGATTGCAAGATACGAACAATAAAAACAGCTTGAAAGCATGTTGACAAAAGGCAATTTGCCTGCCAAGGAGCATTTAGACAGATGTAGGCTTCTCAAGATCAGCAGCAGTGGCCAGGAGACAGGACAGTAACACCCAGATGTGATGGAGAAGGACGTCGGCCTGAGGTCCACGGGAGTCACAGGGGTGAGACGTGCTCAGCCTTGACAGTGGTGATGGGTTCACAGGTGTGTATCTATGTGATGAGACTCACCGAATTGCACACTCTAAATACAATCACTTTCTGTATTTTTGTATATCAATTATTTCTCCATTAAGTTATAAAAAGAACGTTTAAGACAACTCTTCATAGGCAGGTTTAACAGCAGATTAGACACAGGAAAAGAGGGGGTTGGAAAGCTGGACTGTAAGACGTAGGAAGTACCTGGGCTGAAGAAGAAAGACAAAAGAATTAAAATAGAAAATAAACATAGTTTAAAAGGTGAAGACGTGATGAAAACACCTAACCCCACGTACATATTTGGAGCCCTAGAGAGAGAGTCGGGAAGCAAGACCAATTCCAACGCCAAGATCAGTGCTGAGGAAACCATGTATTGATGTGTCGACAAATCACAGGAGAACTGCTGAACACCAAGGGCCAAGGGCCATATTTTATTTTGTTTTTTATTAGTTATCTATTTTATACATATTAGGGTATATATGTCAATCCCAATCTCCCAATTAAGGGACATATTTTAAAAGCCAGAGGAAGAACACAAATATCACTTCGTAAGGGGCAATAAAGTGATGCAACCCAGAAAAGAACAGACTGGCATCTCTGTGGTGCTAAGAGAAAGTGAGTACATCCAGACTCCTGTACCCATGTGAGTAGCCTTCAACACGAAGACGGAACAGACATTCCAGGCTGAATACCAGAGATAAGACGTTGCCAGGGGCCGGCACCGAAGGAAACGCCAGGTGAGTTACTCGGGTGGAGGAAGCGCATCCCAGGTGGAGGCACCAGAATGCAGGTGGAGTGGAGGCCACGGAAGGGCCGCCCGCCGCCACATCCGATGGCCAGGGTGTCGTGTGGGACCCGGGATGCGGCGGGCTCACGCGGTGCCTCACGTGGGAGGGGCGGGGCAGGGGGGCACCGGGCCGGCGCTGCGAACACCTGCTGGACCCTAAGGTCAAGGTCGGGGCAGACTGTGGGGCTGGAGTGTTCACGGGGGTGAAAAGGCCATCCAGCGGGCGGTGCGGTGATTCTGATCTGTGCACGAGACACAGCCTAAGTGGTGACGGATGTCAGGTCCACAGAACCAAAGAGATAAAGTGGGTGAGTCCACAGTCATCGCGGGAGATTTCAGCACATGAAGCTTAGCAACTGGGAACAAACTGTGTAAAGACATAGGTTTGTAAAACACATTTACATAATTGACAAATGTAGACCAGCGCGTTCAGTGCATAAAACACAAGCCTTTCAAAGGTACGCAGGACATTGAACTGACAAGTGGGTCACGAGGCAAGATTCCGCAGAACTGAAGGACTGGATCGCTGGAGCGTGTTTTCTCTAACTGCAGCGGGACAGCAGAAACACGACTTAAGAAATCCTTGAATGTTTGCAAATTAAGCAATAACCTTTTGGATAACCCGTGGGTCAAAAATAAATCACCATGGAAATTAGAACGTATTTGGACTGAGCAATGAACATGACAAATTTAAACTTGGGGGATGCAGTGGTTTTATAGCCTTAAATGAATATTTAGGGAAAAAAAGAATTTAAAAACAATGACCTAATTTCCATCTTCAGAAATTAAAGAAAAGCAAATTAAAGCCAATGAAAGTGGCAGGAAGGAAATAATAAAGATAAGGACAGAAGCTAATAACATAAAAACCCCACAGGGTAAAGCATTGTTTTTAAAAAGATGGCTCTTTGAAAAGATCAAAAACACTGATAAAACTCTGACAAAAGTGAACGAAAAGGGGAAAAGGCCTAAATTACTAACATCGAAAATAAAAAGTGATGTTGCTGTGTGTTCTGCGGACGTGAAAGGCTGTAAGAGCGCACTCTGAAACACTTTGCGCTGTTACATTTGAAAATACAAAGGAAATGGATGAGATCCTCAATAAACACAATTTTCCAAAACTGACACAAGGGAAAAAGGAGAGGCTGAATCCCTTAGCGAAATGAACGTGTAACCAAACCTCTCCCACGGAGAACATGCTACGCCTCACCCGCTTTTCTCGTGAATTTTCGGGCGAACCCGGGCACCGGAAGTGCTGCCTTCCCTCCCCCGCCAGGCGCTCAGGGCCCGGGTCTCAGGCGCCCGGAGAGCACAGGCAGGCCACGTGGGTGGCGCCGCCGCCGCCCCTCAGCCCCGGCCCAGGGCTGTCCGAGAACCGAGAGCACCCGCGGTGCCGCCGGCTCTGTGCTCGGCTGGTTTCGGCCGAGTGACCCGAGGCCTGGGGCCCAACCCTCTGCGGGCCCAGCCCTGAGGGCGTCCGCGCTGAGAGAGCGTCGGGCCAGCCCTGCCCTGAGCGGCCCCTCCCTCCAGCCCGAGGGCCTGCTTCTCCGGGAGAAAAGGCCCCGCCCCGTGGCCATCAGGCGGTCACGTGGGCCCCATGGCCGCGCCGGGCCAGGTTGGCTGTTTGTGTTCCCATGCGCATGCGCACCCCTCCCCCCGGAACTTCCGGCTGCCGCCTTCCGCGCAGTTGTCGCCGTCCTGCAGGGAGGCGCCGCGCGAGTCCTCTTTCGCTGGCGGTTCCGTGGTAAAGGTGCCGGACGCTTGGCAGACAGACCAGGACCAGAGTCTCACGCGTGTCACGGAACTCACACCTCACCCTCCAATTTGTACAAAGGGAACCAGATGGACCACGAACAGCCCACGGAGGGGGGGGTGTCTCTGGGTGTGGCATGTCGTGCCCCCTCTTCTCCACGGGAGCCCAGCTGGGTGACGGGACGTGCCCACAGGCCCCTGGCGTTCCCTCTGCTTCGCTCTGAGTGCTCGCCTGGGGAGGGGTTGCATGTGCTAAACCTGCATCGAATCCTGTCTTTATGACTTGCAGAGTGTCGGTCCCGCCCAGAGGGCCGAGAGCCGGGCCGCAGCCACTCCGCCCCAGAGCACCCGGAGAGGCCCCCGGAGCGGAGGGAGGACCTGGGGACGATGAGAACCCTGACCTCGCACCACATCCAGCGGGGACGCGTGGGAGAGGCAGGGGTGCCCAGGTCTCAGCAGGGGCCGGGGGCGATGGGCGTGTGTCCCCTTCCTCCCGAGGGGCCGCCCCCAGCAGAGGGACCCGCCCTCCTCTCCTTTTCGGTGCTTTACTTCCCTCCCTCTCGGCTTCCAGGGCTCTCAGAGCAGGAGCTGTCTCCCCGATGTCCCTGTGCCCACCGAGCGCCCTACACACACTAGGGACCGACACACGCCGGCGGGGTGAGTGGTGAGCCGTCAGGGCAGGGGACGCAGGAGGTCCGAGCCTCGTACAAACTGCGGGCACGGCAGGCTTGGGGGAGCAGGCTCGCCGGTCTGCCGGCCTTTCTGCAGGAGCCGGAGCCTGGGAGGGCTGGCCTGCCTCACCTGGGCAGGTGACGTCGCCCACCGCTGGGCCACGTGAGGCAGGAGTGCGCCCCGTCTCCTCGGAGACACAGGGACGCCACACTGGGACTCTGGGTGGGTGAGGGGGCTCCTGAGCAAACCGTTCACCTCCTGAGCTCTAATGAACCGGGGGAGAAACGGGGGCCCAAAGGAGATCAAAGGTTGAGACAGATGGTCTGGGCAGCGGCTACATCAAACAGCCTGTCAGCTTTGTCCACTGTTCAGCCCACGTGGGCCAGGGACTCGAGTTTTGCCTTAATTGACTTAACATGGTGTCATGGAGATGCTGACAAAGAGTGAGTTCCTGGCCAGAGCTTAAACTTAAGAGCGGATTTCCAAGGAGGCCTGTGTTCTCCCCTCCGGGGACTCTGGGCAGAGAAAAACAGGAAGGGAGGCCAAGGGCCTTTAACGCGGTTGGTTTCTGCCCTCCTGGACCACCAGAGTCACGAGATGAGATGCAACACCGACAGGTCCATTTTAAAGGATCTTGTGTGCTTTCCGGAGTGACGGGGGTCTCATCCGGAACCAACGACTAATTCTCAAGTAGGTCGGTGTGATGAACACTTACAACTAACCTTTTATGCATTTTAACACGTAGCTCGTCTTTTTAACAGACTTTTAGTGAATACTCATGCACGGGAGGCCCTGAACTGAAGATTCTAGAAAAGGCCCAACGGGGAGAAGGGCTTGTACTAGGAAGTAGCGTAGCCTAGAGCGGACCTTTAGACAGCATCTCGCTGGGCGTTGGGCAGACTCTTCTCAGAGCAAAGGGAACTTCTTCCCTTAGAACAGTGAGGACAGACGTCCTCCTGTCCTTCTGGGCACGAAGCTGTGTCATGACTGCAGAGGCGGGGAGGGCATGGTGGCCTCCTTCCAAAGTGTTTCGCAAGCCTCCTCTCAAGATTAGACCCTGGGCCGCTGGTCGGGTTTCAAATCCTAACTGGAAACAGATTTGCTTTCTCTGCTTTGATGAAGTTCTGCTGTTTTGTGGGGCTTTGAAGCTTATTTTTTTGTCCTTAAATTGCATTAATTATTTTTGAAGTTTATACTTTTGTTCACGAAGTCTCTGTGAAGGGCATAACATGCGTGTAGATTCAAATAATTCAAAGGGATGTGTCTGATAGTTACTTTTAATTGGTAGCAGGGGACGGCATCCAACTTACTACAAACCTACATGCTATGGTTGAGAGCTAATTAAACTTCCCCTTGAAGCTGGAATTCAAAGCCTCACTCGTGGCCTGACGTGGTATTATCGGGGGAGAATGTTTGTTTCATAATTTGAAACAAGAACCAGGATCTTGTATGAGGCCCAGTATTACTTCCATATGAGGGGGCTGGACGGAAGGACAGAGCTGGACCCCTGAGTAGTGCCTCTGCCCTGGGGGCACTGGCCCCTGCACTGGGGGCTGCCCTGCCCTGGGCCCAGGGTGCAGCCGCCTGGTGAGGCTGGGAAGCCATGAACATGTCTGTGTGCCATGTCCACGCGGCGACCGTGAAAGCAGGGGCCCAGGGGATGGGGTGCGTCCATGGTGCAGCCTCTGAGCAGAAACTGAAGGCCTGTGGGACCCGGCCCAGAGAGCTCCTATCCTGGGGGCAGGACAAGTGGGTTGGGCTGGAGGAAGCTGGGGAGGGCGGGCAATGACCTGGGGCTGCAGGCGTTTTGGGGACTCTAGCTCCTACCGGGAGGGAGGAGGGTGGGCACAGGGGGCTTCTTAGGGGGTGGCTGGGCCTGGCTCCCCATGGAGGATACACTATGGGGGGCATAAGAGCAAGACCTGCCAGGAGGCTGTGGCCAGTGCCCAGGGCGGCTGTATGGGGACAGGGGGGCGAGTGCCTGGGTCCTGGGTGGGTTGGCAGGAGAGCTGAGAGCGTCTGCTCATGGCTGGGTGGAGTGTGAGGGGGCTGCCAGGAGAATCCTGGGGTTTCATCTGGAGCCCCTAGAGGAGGGGCTGCCGCTTCCTGAGAGCAGGGGAGATATGGGGGACACGTAATGAACGTGCTGGAGGGGCACCCAGAGTGGATGTCATGGAAATGCACATCTGGGGTCCCAGGGGAAGGAGCCAGGGGCATCACGTGACCACCAGAAGGACACACCCATGCGTCCCAGTACAGAGACCTAGGCGCTTGAACTCTGAGGCTGGGGACCAGGAGGAAAGGTCAGTGAGGTGAAGGGAACTGAGAAGAGGTGTCCAGCAAACCCAGGAGGCCTGGCACAGCCCTGTCAGCCCACCCAGGTTTTCAGATCAGTGATGTATTTGGACGTTTCCTATCACCTCTTAAAGTTCAATTTGCTCTACGTTTTCTCATTCATTTTTCTTGCTTCTGCCTTTATTCAGATTGATAGCAAATGCTCACCTGACCAGAGGAGGGTTTAGTGGCTCTCAGAACCCCTGGTCTCCACGTCCTGGTCCCTCATCTGTTGAAACTACCGGGAGTTCTTGTTCTGGGTTCGTACATACGTGTGTCCATGTTTCTTTTCTTTGGTCTTAGTTTTTTCTTAAGACAACAACAAACTTTATAAAGTTATAGTTTTAATCTTTCTTGTTTTCTTCTCACATCTCTTGCAGCTTTTCTGGGTTTGTTTCTTTATATTTTGAGGTTTCCTCCAAAAATGTTTTCATTGTGGGTTTTGTTGGCAAATCTTTTGAGACCTTGTAAGAATAGCTTTATTATGCCCTCAAAATAGTTTGTTCTTTCAACTGTTGTGTACCTACTATTTCTACTTTCTTCTTTTTTCAGGCTATTTTTTTCTTTTTCCTATTGCTAATGTCTTCCTTTATTTTTAAAGCATATTTGTCATACTTATTTGAGATAATCTGTCCTAACACTTCTGCTTCAGATGTTATAAGCTCCCTGGTTTGTGGCTCTTTCTTTGTGATTTTTAAACTTCTTGGGTGTTTAGATTTCTTGACTCAGAGCTCACTTCCCCCTAGAAGTGAATTAACTGATCTTTGGAGGAAAATACATCATCCAAGACCTCTGTTTCCATTCGTGGTATCCACAACACCCTCAAACTTTCCAACCATACCAAGGACCAAGTGGCCAAAAACCTTGGGACAAAAAGACAATGTAAACAGTATCGAATGTGAACAGATGCTGGACTTACCAGATGTGGATTTTAAATTAACTGTTTTTAACCCTTCCCTGCCAGTTTTAAACAATTAAATTAACTATTAATATATAAACAGAAATATGACAGGATGAGCAATTTCACAGGAGAACTGAAATCGTTTTTTTAATCAATGGAAATACTAGAGCTAAATCTACATTAATTGAAATTAAGTACCTGAAAGGTGGATTTAGTGATGGGTTAGAGCACAGAATAGAAGTCAGTGAGCTGGCAGAGAGGTCGGCAGAAAATATCAAAAGGAGCATAAAAACACCTGAGATTTAGTGAAAAGCTACAACATGCATGGATGGGAATCCCAGAAGGAGAAGAGAGAGAACGAGGGGCAGGAACTATTTGAAGAAATGCTGGTCAAGAAATTCCCAAGGCAATGGAAGACATCAAACCACATATTTGTGAAAATCTACAAACATGAAGCAAAATGGACACAAGGAAAGCACACCTGGGCACATCATAGTCCAACTGTCAAAAATGTAAATAAAGGGAAAATTGTAAACAGGGTTACAGACAGCTGACTTGTTCACAAAATGATGGAAGCTGGGAGACAATTGAAGGGTATATTTAAAATCCTGGGGAAATAACAGCTCACCTAGAATTCTCTATCCAGTTAAAATGCTTTTTGAGAGTAAATCTGAAGTTAAGATATACTAAAATGAACAAAAATTGAGAGAATTTGCCAATAGCAATTTTCACTAAAATACGTGTTAAAGGAAAATTTTCAGGCAGAAGGGAAATCTTGTTTTTTTAAAGAAAGATAATAGAGCAAATTGTGGAAAACAATAGAAAGGGTACATATGTGGGGAAACCCAGATATTGTATTGCTGCTGACTGACTGCAGCAATACAGTATCTCGTAGAATTTAAATAAATGTAAAATTAGGATACAGAAAGAAAAAAAAAAAAGCTAGGATAGGTAAATGGGATTCAAGAGTTGAAGTGTGGTTGCTTTGTCCAGGAGGCTGAGTGCTAACTCTAATATATCAAGGATGCATGGGGGAAATCATTAAAAGAAAAATAGAAATCGTATTTAGGGGAAATAATAGGAAATATTTAGATATTAGTCAAAATGTGTCAGAGAAAGATTTAAAAGGGACAGAGGGGACCACTACAAAGCAAACTGTAATATGGTAACTTTGACACAAATGTACCATTAGTTACACCAAAAATAATTATTATTTCGTTAAATCATTAAAATACATTAATCCTCTAACTGAAGACAAAGATTGTCAGGCTGGATTACAAAAAACAAAACAAAACAAACAATTGTTCCTCCAAGTAACACATGTAAATGTGAGTACCTCAGCCTGAAAGGATGGGGAAAGGTACACCACACAAACAGACAAAAATCAGCGGAAATATTGAAGATTTGAAAATCATGATAAACAAATCTGACCTGGTTGACATGCACAGAGCCCTGCATCTAATCGATGACTGCAGTATATACTTCTTTTTCCAAGTGCACAAGGAACATTTACCAAAACTGATGACCTTTTGCATCCCTCAACGACTTTTGAAGTGTTCAAAACATACAATACTCTATGACCACATTGAAATTAACCTAGAAATCAGTAACCAAAAGGTACAAAGTGAGGAAATCCCAAATGTTTGAAAATAACATGATAAAAGTTCTAAATGATCCATTAGTCAGAGAGAAGTCCCAATGGAAATTAGGAGATATTTTGAATTGGATGATGATAAAAATATGAAGTATAAAAACTTGTGTGGGGCTTCCCTGGTGGCGCAGTGGTTGGGAGTCCACTTGCCGATGCAGGGGACACAGGTTCATGCCCCGGTCCAGGAAGATCCCACATGCTGCGGAGCGGCTGGGCCCGTGAGCCATGGCCACTGAGCCTGCGCGTCCGGAGCCTGTGCTCTGCAACGGGAGAGGCCACAGCAGTGAGAGGCCCACGTACCGCAAAAAAAAAACCCAAAACAAACAAAAAACTTGTGTGGCATAGTTAAAGCTATACTGAAAGGAAAATGTACAACTTTGGGGAATTTCCTGGCCATCCAGTGGTTAGGACTCAGTGCTTTCATTGCCGTGGTCCCAGGTTTGATCCCTAGTCTGGGAACTAAGATCCCACAAGCTGCAGCCAAAAAAAAAAAAAAAGAAAAAGAAAATGTATAGCTTTCAATTGCATATATTAGGCAAAATGCTGAATATCAAAGAAATAAGTACTTTACTCAAGAATTCGAGAAAATATTGCCAAAATCTCGGCTTCCCTGTGCACCGAGGCCGAACAGAAATACGGAGACAGGGATGTTGGAGGAAGAGAGAGATGGCTTTACTTTTCTGCTAGGCAGAAGGGAAGACACAGCTGGCTAGCGCCTCAAGAACTGGGCACCCCCCCCTTTGAGAATCAGAGAGGATTTTATATGTGGGGCTCTCGCAGTCCGGGGTATAGGGTGAGGATAAAATTAGTGAAGGTCTTGCATTCCTCCTTTCCTTTGCATTATTTCAAAACAGTCATAGCTGGCATCAGGCCGCCTGGTAATTGGGGTCCAGCAGTCTGGTAATTGCATACGTTTGCCTCTGGTTTATCGGCGGTGACCTCGTTTCTGAAATGCAAATACTATAGGGGGTGATTTGTTATGAGGGGCGTATAGAATGTAAGTTCTGGACATAATAAGGTTAGGGAGTGAGAGGCAGGGGGTGTAACTCACACGGAGCCAGGGGTGATGGGTGCCCAATGTAAATTACATAGTGTCAGGGAGTGAGGTTAGCTTTGTAAAGTACAAATCTAGTTACTACAAATCAGTGACGGTTAAAGTAAAACAAGGAGTGATTAACTCTTTCAGGCCAGGCTGTGTTTCTTCTCTAGCTGGTTTGCGATTCCCTTTGTTTTCCTTGCTGTCAGGGAAGAAGAAAGAAAACTCTCACTTCTATTTACATTGCAACAAAAAATTAAACAATAACACTCAATTAGAAAGAATACAGCAATGATAAAATCAGTAATTAATGAAATATAAATCATACAGGAGAAAAGAAATCAGTAGCCAAAGATTGTTTGCTTGAAATAGAATAATTAAAATGATAAACTCCTAGAAAGTTTAATCAAGAGGAAGATAGGGAGGCACAATTAACAGTGTCAAAGATGAGAATGGAGACATCACTAAGGATCCCACAGATATTGACTCACGAAAGGACATGCTGAACAATTTATGCCAATAATCTTGACAATGTAGATAAATTGAACAAATTCTGAAAAATGCAACTTGCCGAAACTAATACAAGAAAAAAATTTAAGTCTAAATAGTCCTACTGGGGCTTCCCTGGTGGTGCAGTGGTTAAGAATCCGCCTGCCAATGCAGGCGACATGGGTACAAGCCCTGGTCCGGGAAGATCCCACATGCCGCAGAGCAATGAACCCCGTGAGCCACAACTACTGAGCTTGTGCTGTCGAGCCCGAGAGCCACAACTACTGAGCCTGAGTGCCACACTACTGAGCCCATGCACCACAGCTACTGAAGCCCACATGCCTGGAGCCCGTGCTCCACAAGAGAAGCCACCACAATGAGAAGCCTGCGCACTGCAGCCAAGAGTAGCCCCCGCTTGCCACAGCTAGAGAAAGCCCACATGCAGTTATGAAGACCCAACGCAGCCAAAAATAAATTAATTTTTTAAAAAACACCATAAATAGTCCTACTAAAAACATTCCCACAAAAACTCCAGATCCAGTTGGCTTCACCAGTAAATTCTTCCAAATGCTGTGGAAGAAATGACATCAGTCTTACACAAACTCTTCTAGGGAAGAGAAAAAAAAGAGGTGATACTTCACAACTTGATTTAAGAGAACAAAATGACCTCATTATTCATATCTGACCACAAGGTCATTGCAAGAAAGAAACATTACAGCAATCTCTGACATGAGCATGGACACAAACGTGCTTTAAAAATTAGCAAGTCACAGTCAACTGTGTATGCAGATATACACCATAGCCAATTGAGGTATAATCTGAATATGCAAGAATGGTAAAACATTAAAAAAGAAATCAATATAAATCGTATGCAGTCAAACAAGAAATGCTACAACATGGTTGAACCTTGAGGACATTGTGCTGAGGGAAATAAGCCAGTCACAAAGAGACAAATACTGTGTGATCCCACTTATACGAGGTACCTAGAGTCATCAATTCAGAGAAATGCAAAGTAGGTGGTGGGTGCCAGGAACCGAGTGGGGGAGGGGCTTATTGTGTAATGGGTACAGCGGTTCAGTTTTGCAAGATGAAAAGAGTTACGGAGCTGGATGGTGGTGATGGTTACACAACAGTCTGAATATATTTAATACCACTGAACATACACTTAAAATCATTAACGTGG